ATAAATACTTAATTGATCGATCATCTGCAACAATGATACTTTTATTTCCTCTATGCTATGTCTTACTGCTCTATCATTTCTAGATACATATCACTGAACAGTGGTGACAGTGGGCCTTGTTCCTTTAAAACTGATCATTCTGAAAATACTTCTCGTATTTCTAATTTCTAATATTTTCCAATACCAATAATGTTATCTCTTAGTTTAAACAAAGAGTTCTTACTGAGGTGTGTGTGTGTGTGTGTGTGTGTGTGTGTGTAGATGTTTAATCATAGTCCCCTTTGGTTAATCTGACGCAATCACAGAACAATGTCTCTTATTAAAAAGGAAATCAATTATATTGAAATACAATTATTTAATTTTTTTTATTCACAGACTTCAGGTAGAGAAGCCCTAGTTTAAAGAGTAATTTACCATATTAAGGAAAGGTCCATTTATTCCTATGATTTTGAATCTTTTTTTAAAAAGATACAGGGGTGCTGTATTTGATGCAGTTTTTTTCTGTCTATAATCACGTGATTTTTATTGTTTTTTATTATCAGTATGGTCTGGTACAGTCATAGTTTTCCTAATATTGAACCAATCCTGCATTCCGAATTTAAATCAACCTAGTCACAATCTTTTTAATATGTTGCTATAGCTTTTTGCTAATATTTTATTCAATATTTTTGTGTTGGTGTCGATTAGGGTAAATGTTCTATAGTTTTTTTTCTCTGATTTATCCTGCTCCAGTTTAGGTATTAATACCATATTTGTTTCATACAAGCAATCTGATAAGCTCTCTTCTTTTACTCTTTTTGCACATAATTTATGCAATTTTGTGTGATAATGGAATTAACTGTCCTTTGAATGTTTCCTAGAACTCAGTTGTAAATCCATCTAGTCCTGTTTCCTCCCCTTCAGAAGTTTCCTTTTGATTCTCACATAGTAATTCCTAGACATCTATCATATCTGTTCTTTCTAAAATTATATTCAGGTCTTTACTGTCTTTCTTGTCTATCTATTTATTGTATTTGTCTAGATATGAAAAATGTACAATAATTTTAGTTTTGCTATTTTCCCTGTAATTAGATTAACCTTTCCTAAAAGAACTTAGATGCCATGCCATTTAGTGCACATATATTTAGTGTTGACATTATTTCATTACCTATGATTTTTTTTTTATCTATAATGGAGTTTCTCTGTTTCTTTTAATCATCTCTATGTTTATTGTTGCTTTGTCTATGATGATTGCTTTTTTTAGTTTGTCTTAGGCATAATAAATTCTGCTATACTCTGTCATGTTAACTCTGTGTGAATCTTTGTTTTAAGCATTTCTTATAAACAACTTATTCTTGGATTTTTGTCATCTAGCCCATTCTGCTGCCCTCTTCCATTTCATGGGAGAGTTCATACCATTCATGTTCATGTATATAAGTATTAATATAAGTATTATAAGTATACCCTACTATACTTTTTCCTCTCTTTATCTTTGCTTTCCTTTATACAAGCAAGGTAAAGAAAGGGATAATTTTTTTATGAATTCTTAATATTTAATAGATAATTTTTATCTTTTCTCAAACTTTGCCATTTAAATACACAGAACGATTTGTTTACTGGTAGCTAACTAAAAATGAAATGTGAGCATAAAAACTTTGGTTCGTGTTTTATACTGAGGAAGGTTGCTGCTGTTTGTGTCCAACCCTCATTTGGAAATTTCAAATAAAAATTAGTTTAATGAAATACCCATCGCTACCACTCCAACCTTCCCATCTGAATAATCTTCTATGCACCCCAAATATGACAAGAGATAAGTTCCATCCACTTCTTTCTCACTTTTCCCTTAGTATATTTCTAATTTACCTCCCCCTCTTTTCTTTTTTTTAAAACCAACAAGATATATTAAAACCATAGGTTCTACCTTTGTCTTTCTGATCTCCCTCTGTGGAGTTGTGAAGGGGGCTTCTTTTTTTTTTCCCTCTCTTAGCATATAAGCAGTTCACTATTATTTAGACTGTTACACAGGCTCAAACATATCTACCTTTCTAGGTCTCTCTTGTTGCTTGAGTTTTCCTTTCAAAGTTCCAGCTCAAGTCTTTTCATCGGAATTCCCAAAAGTACTCTCTATTTTATCCAAGGCCCATTTATCTCCCAGTGGGATGACATTCATTCTTGCTAGATAAATTATACTTGGTTCTAAGTTTTAGATTTTATCTTCAGAAATATCTTCCAAGATGTTCTCCTCTTTATAGAAGTTGTGTGATGCAGACACAGGTTTCTTGGTACTTTCTAGGATTTGTAGTACTTTTTTTTTTAATATGGAAGTTCTGGATCTGGGCTCTGACATTCCAGGGTGTTTTCACTCTACTTGATGCACAATAAGCTCCTTTTCAGTACTGATTGTCTTGTGGAAACAGCATTTAAAGTATATCACTTTTTACCCAAATATCACAACCAAGTCATGTGAAAGTTTTCTGGCCAAGAAGGAAATGAAAAATCCTGTTACAGAATGAGGAGACCAGGTCCTTGCGACACTGTCTGATGGGCCTGACACACAATGAATATCAATCATTTACAATACCATAGAGAAAAATGTGCCTTCTATAACCAGACAAGGGCTGTGGTCCCTAGGAGTCAATCTAAGCTCAACACCAAAAACAAGCTGGATAAATGTGTTCCATGGGCTTTTCCATTTTGGAGATTTATTTACCAGAATGCCTTTGCCCAAGAAAGAGAAAAGGGTTAGAGTAAAAGGACATAGAAATTACACAATTCACTGAATTCTGTGATTTTTACCAATCTCCCTTGCAGAACTCTCTCTAATGTGAAGTGTAGTTTTCCCCCTCCAACAGGGGTTGATTTTCACTGTCCGTGCCAGCTAAAGACTGGGCAGTGGGACAGGACTGATCAACTTTTTTCATCTCCTCCTTCACTCACTTCATTCTTTAGACAATATGTACTCCTTATTTCCCAAAACCAAAATAATAAAAGAAAAAAAAAAAAAAACCAAGTCAACCATGGCTGCCAGAAAACTCTTTTCCCCTAAAGATATAATTTCCCTGTTGTTTTTTACATGAACTTTCATTCAAAAGAAGACCTATGTCCTCAGAAAACATGTAATTAAGGCAGTCTCCTCTAAATGTTATTAATACCTTTCAATGAATTCTGGCCAATGTAAAGGAGATGACCCCCCCCCCCTTTTTTTGCTTGACAAAAATGAAAAGTTGATTCAAGAGAATAAATTTCAACTCCCCCCAACCCCCTGAAAAAACAACCCACATTCAAAACTCTACCTCCCCTGATTTTCTGCCTCTAAGGCCTAGTTTTCCTGGAAAGAAAAAGCTAGCCAAGTGCTTTAAAAAAAAAAACCAAAAAAAAAACAACTGTCTCTGTTCGTGACAGCTAATGTCTCATATCCCATAACAGTAGCTGTGACCTCAAAGTCAGCTGTGATTGACAGACTGACCTCAGTCACTCCAGGGTGTAAGGTAAATGACAACCCTCCTCCCCCCAAAAAAGAAAAGAAGAAAAGAAAGAAAGAAGTTGGGGAGGGCGGTTGGAATCTTGCTGTCAGCTTAGCAAGCAAACTTCTTAATAAAAACCTCATTCAAACTGTCAGTGTGAAATGCAGAAAGTGTCAACTAGGGTTTTCAGGCAAATACTTCATAAGCTTGCGCAGGAGGAAGGCTCTAACTGGCTTTGCCCACACTATGCCTTCAACCTTTTACTTCCCCGCCAAAAAGCAGGGCCACAAAAAGCTAGCCACATTCAAGGAATTTTAATAACATTCAACTGTGGACATAAGAAGGTAGTGCCCTGGAGACCATTCAATGACAAAAGCCATCATCTTGGTCATGGTGAAAAGAACTGAAGTCCTGATTTGTAATGCCCAGGGAGCATCTCCACTCCAGGAGTCAGGGAAATTTGACATCTCTATGAGCTTGGCAACATTTCACAGGAAGGTCAGAGAGCAAGTTGGCTTCCCAATGTCACCTTTCATCCTAACTCAGAGGGCAAAGCTGAGAAAGACTTGACTCAATAGAATATTTATGGGGTTTGTTTTTTTAAATGCTAAAACATTTTTTGTTTCTAAATGGTGGAATCAGGAGAAGAAAGGGAAAACTAAGTTCAATCTCTATTCACAAAAGTAATTGTAAAACTCAGCTGAACTATCATGGAGTGTCATATACATGAGTGACGAAAAACCCAAACCACGTTTCACCAGTAGAGGATGAAGGTGGGAAGAAAATGGAGCTAGAATTACATAATGGCAACCTTTCTCTGTTTCACACGGCTTCTCCAGGTGTGGCCCTCTCTCATGCTGAGGGGTCATCCTATCTACTTCATTCACACTTATCCTGATATCATGAAAAGATGGTCTACTAGACCATCTGAGAAGACTATTCATGTGGACACTCTGTATGCATTTTTAAAGTAAAATTTAAAAACACTATTTTGTGGAAATCAAACAAAAGTCTGCCCAGTCAGAATAAGGAACTGTAAACTCCTCAAGACTCATGTTTTGCTTTTAATAGTAGTGAAAGACTAATATTCTCTCTAAACAGAAATGAAACACACTAATATTCTCTTTGAACAGCCACCTCTAATTTTCCTACAAGGCATTTTGTGGGAAAGATGAAAAATAAAACTAAACCTCTTCCCTGATCCCTGCAAGACAATTCACCAACTCCTGGCCTTAAATCAGCTGGCCTTAAAATGTAACCATGCAAAGGAAGGGAAAGCTGGACCCTGCAGGCAAAGTTGTGCAACGCTGCACGTCCCGATTATCGGCCTGCACTAGGGAAAGAAAGGGCCCCGAGCAAAGCTGGTCGAAGGAACAGAATCGAGGGGGGGAAAAGGCTCCAAAGACTTTCCTGCTTTTTGTTCCCTCCAAAGGCACACTGGGCGGAGGCCAGGGTAGGTCTTCCAACTCAAGGAGAACATGGAAGATTGTTCAGAATGTCTTTGCCTAGAGAGTGCAAGGCCCTGGCAGGCTGTGTTTGCATTGTCTCATACTATACCTCAGATGGAGATCTTCTGAGAACTTAAGACAGGCGTAGATAAATTCTTTAATTTGATTGTAAACCTTAGGCACAAATTCAGAGAAAGGAAACTTCTTTGGAAACGGCTGCTGTAAATGCAGGAAATAAAGACACTGAGTCACAAGCCAGCAGACATTAAAGACCTTCACAAACAAGTTACAAACCAAAAGGAATAAGCGCCTCAACTTCAGGCAAGCGAGCAGCTCATTCCTTCTGTGGAGACAATCTCTCCGAGATCTCCCTCCTTGGGATGTACAGTGTTGCACAACTTCCCTCCCTCCTGGAATTAAGTGGCCCCTTAGAAATGGGGGCCTAAGGAAGCAACAAACAACATCCCAGAGTCTAGGCCTCCCCGAGGAGAGCAGTTCCAGTGGACCCCTCCCCTCCTCCAGCCTCTGTCTGCTACGGGCATGTGAGGCTAAGCTCAGTCTCTACCAGGGGAGTTAAAAGGGGTCACTTTCAGGAAACTGAAAGGGATCCTAATGGCCAGAAAGAAAAGATTCTGAAGGATCCAGTGACTGGAAAGTTCTCCTGACCTTTTCCAGCTCTGCATCTTGGAATGGGAACTGTCCAACCACCTTCTTATAGAGTTCCTCACTGGACACTGGGATGGGGCTGTAGTTGTCTGAATCAAGTATGTTTCTAAAGAGAGGAAAAATGAATTATCTCAAGACCCAAACAGGAATTTCCACGTAAAGAGAAGGAGAGAAGTTTAAAAAACCCCACCGCCACCACATCAGTACGATCCTGGAAGAAGATCTGTATCTCAGCCAGAAAATAATCGTGGCCAAAGAGCTTGCTGACTTGTGTCTCAGACTAATGCCTTCCTCTAACCCTGGACATATCCCCTTTTCACTTCAATCCTTTCAAAACGCCAGCCCAAAGGTAGCAGTCAGGATGCCGTACAGCCCTGTGCCTCCCTGCTCTCAGCATGGTTTCCACATTGACTTTTTTGACTCCCAAAGGTGACCAGATCTCCCAACATGCCTCAATAGCTGCCTCTACTAGAAGGAGAATCACAAATGGAATGTGAGAACTAGAAAAATGTGAGCTCTGAAAAGCGCCAAGTGGATCCTCCGGGTAAGAGATCTAGGCAGGCTTTGTGCCAAACAAAGAGATGATTCTCCCTGAGGCCTCAGTCACATCTCTGTCAGGTGCTTTCTAGGACATCTGAAGGCTGGTTCATATGGGCTCTGCCTGACCATCTATACCAGGAGCTCCCCAGAGGGAAGGATGTCTAAGCCATTGATCCAGAAATGACCTGAGGACAAGGGTCATGTCTCCCAATACGTGCTTCCGAGCTTCCTGTTGCATAGGCCCTCCCCAAAACATATGGGCTCTAATTAAAGTAGAAACAATTAAGATATTTTATTATCATCTTCATTAAGTAGAATACACTCAGAGAACACTAGGGATTGTGGCTCAGTATCCTGACTGGCTAGCAGTACATTAAATGAATGACTCACTATGGCAGAAGGGGCTGGGGAGAAAAGGGTAAAAGGCTTCTGTACAAAGATAACGGTCCTTGAGCCTGAAATCACAGCATCGGTCTGTGATAGAAGTCCGAAATTACCATCAGTGGACTCTAAGAGAGCTTTCTGCTGTGAAGACTGGGGCCCTGGCGCCATGTCCTTCCACTCTCTGAAGACAGAGACTGTCTTCCTCATCTCATTCTCCCTCTAGAGCCCTGGAGAAAGGTCTGTAGATAAAACTCCAAGCCAAAATGTCTTTTTCCAGGAAGATTTAAAGGAAAGCCTAGAGACTCTTAGGAAATTTGGGGACCATGAGGGCATTATCGGTATATAATGCTAACCCTCTCCCCTCTCCCAAGAGTCCTGCTTCTTCTAAGCCAGACAAACCTGGGTTCATTTGCTTGGGGTTTGGGATGTAAGGGAAAGCTCATTAGGAAAAATAAATAGATTCTCTAAAGCTGGTTTTCTCATAAACCTAATTACGTGGAGCCTGGGTCCCGGGGTCCCGGGGTCCCGGGGTCGACACTACTGACAAGGCTTTGGAATCAGAGGGACTGAATTCAAAGTCGGCCTCTTTCACTGGCTACCTGTGTGACCTCTGTTCTTGTCGTTCAGTCGTTTTCAGTCGTTTCTGACTCTCGGGGACCCCTCGTGGGGTTTCCTTGGCAAAGATACTGGAGTGGTTTGTCATTTCCTTCTCCAGCTCATTTTACAGATGAGGAAACTGAAGCAAACAGAGTGAAGTGACTTGCCCAGGGTCACACAGCTAGTCAGTATCTGAGACTGGATTTGAACTCAGAAGGATGAGTCTTCTCGACTCCAGGCCAAGTGTTATATCCACTGCACCACCCAGCTGCCATGTGTGACTACCTCACTGAGCCTCAGTTTCTTCCTCTGTACAGGGAGGCTGGACTACAGCCTCTGAGTCCCTTCCAGCTCCGTGCCCCACTGCAGGAATGAAGGAAGATGTTAAGGGCCACAGTGAGACACACTTCATGGCAAAAGGCCCCAGTATCACTCACCAAGGGACACCATGGACATGACCAGTCAATCAGCGCTTATTATTCTCCTACACTGTGCCAAGAACTGCCTGAGGCCATAACTTACCCAAAAAAGGCCCAAGGACACGTTTCAGTCACAGTTCTATTTCAGCAATACACAGTGGTCACCAACCAAACATGTTTTAGGGGGCACCAGAACAGTCGGACGCATCGCTCTCAGGGCTATCCTGGAAGCAACATGGATCCCAGATTCTAACCCAGGCCCCACAGCTGTTTTTGAACTCCAGAATCTATGATAGGCCCAGCCACAAGCATCTGCCACGAAGCGTGTCTCACTGAGGCCCTTCCATCCTCCCCCAGTGCTTCATCAGGGCACAGGTTCAGGGATGCCAAGCTGAAAGAGACTCAGCTCTCTTCCACCCTCCTTCTACAGAAGAAGAAACTGGCACAGCCTAAGGTCACTCAGGTAGTAAGTGAGAGAGGCAAGATTTGAATCTGGTTCCTCTGATTCCAAACCCAGTGTGTCACATGGCCTCTCAAAGGCAGGGCATGTCAAGCTGGTAGGCTCAGAGTCCAGCATCTGACTGCATGATTACAATCCCAGGCTCGTCATGACAAGGGCGGTTGCCGGGTGACAACTCTTTCACCCTCATGAGCAGAGGCATTTCATACGGCCCTAGTGGAAGGAGCAACTACATGGGAGACACGGCAGGTCCTCAAAGTCAAGGCTGAAGCATCAGTTCTCACCTGAAAACGCCTGCCCATTTCTTCAACAGAGTGTCACTGTACTGGTCTCTGATCTCAAGCAGCATGTCAAAAAGCTGGTTTACTGGGAAACCATACACCTGGGGGAGAGGAATGGTCAGCTTCATTTTTTCTAACTATTTTTAACTCTAGAAATGAGAACAGGGAGGGAGCAGGAAGGAAAGAAGCTTTCTTAAGTGCTGACCATGTACCAGGCACTGTGCTAAGCACTTTACAAACAACATCCCACGTAGGCGTGGGGAACCTTCGGCCTCAAAGCCATGTGTGGGCCTCTAAGTCCTGGAAATCAACCCTTTGACTGAAACTTCACATAAGAAGCTTGGATTCAGTCAAAGGGTCGCACTTTAGGCCTAGAGGGCTACATGTGGCCTCAAGGTCACAAGTTTCCCAACCCTGCACTAGATCCTCACAACAACCCTGGGAAGGAGGTGCTGTTATGATCCCCCATTTTCGAGCTGAGGAGCAGGCACTGAACTGCATCATTCCTTACTTGATTACCAATTCAAATGGGACTGAATTAGGTGGGCCTGCCATTCCTGCCCCAGAGGCAGCCAGACTAGGGCTCATATGGTTTGAAACCTTGAGCTTTGGAAAGTTAAAACCATTCCTAATATTAATATCACCTTCAACATCCTGCGTACTGACACTTGAGCCTTCCCCACTCCCACCTCTTTCTATACAAGAGCTGCCCCTCTTCCCACTCCTTAATGAAAGCCAAAAGGAACCGGGGAACCCATGCCTCCTCACCACCATATACCACTCTGACTCCTTTAAAGTAGGATTCCTGTGAGTCCATACTTCTCCAGAAGGCAGAGCCCAAGGAACTTGGTTGGAGCCCAGATTCTCACTTCCTGCTCTTTGGAAGTAAGAACTTACTCAGCACTCTATAAATGTGGGAAAGGAAGGGCTACAAGTAGGCTGTGAGAGGGCCAAAGGGGGCATGGAACACTATGAAGATAATAACAAGCTAGCTGAGGTGCCACGTGGTGAAAATAAAACATAAATAAACTTTCAAAGGCATTTCCCCAAATTTACGTAGATAGAGAACTACTCATTAGTTGAGGTTAATTTAATCGAATGGAAGTCACATACCTGAAGTGTGTCAGCAAAGAGGACAATGAGGTTCTTCAAATCTAACACCAGGTCTGGGTCAGAGCAGTAAGACTACGGGAAATAACAAAGAAAATAAGGGAAGAACAAAACTTCAAGCACTGAAAACCAAAGGAAATGGTGTTCACCTTTCTTCTTTCCTCTGGTGCTATTCACCCCTGCTCAGCCCAGACAGGCTCCGACAGCCTCCCGTTCTACAGCGGGACGGGGCTCTGCCAACAGAAAACACTGGCACTAACAACCCACCCACCAAGATCCAGAAGCAGGTTCACCACAGTTCACTGCTCAATCAGAAGAAATAATAATAGTAACAACTCAAATTTCTACAGCACTTAGAGTTTTGCAAATGCTCTCATTTACAAAAAGAAAGGAGTGGGCTGTGATGGACAGTGGAGAGACAACTCTGGAGCCAGGGCACTCGAAGTTGACACCTTCCAGGGAGCAGTCCCGGGCACGTCACAGAACCAGTCAGTGCCAGAGGGAGCTCTTTAAGATCTTACGATACAGAGAAGGCACCTGTCCACCTGCAATCATGGAGAGAATTTCCTTCCTTCTCCAGGAGTTCTCATCACCACTGAAATGACACATTCCATCTATCCTTATCCCCTTCTTAACAAAAACCTTTTGAAGTAGGCAGGATAAGGTATGGTGGGCCCTTTGAACAGAGAAGGAAACTGAGACTCAGAAATGCCCAAGGACTTCTTCATGATTACACATCTAGGAAGTCTTAGAGCTGGGGTTCAAACCGTAGGGTCTTGATCCAAAGTTCCACTTTAAAGAGTCACATGGAGAACTATACAATTATATAACTTCTGAATGAATCTAGATAAACACCTGCACTAAGAGGCCAGCGGTGCACTGGGAGTGTCTGGATAGAGGGAGGCATCGTAGCTACTCGAAGAAATCATCCCCAGTGCCCTTGTCACCTTCTGCACTTCATATGCAGAGCCAGGCAGCCCAGAATCCCTCAGACAGGAGTCAGGGATGCAGCAGAGGGCCCAATGCATGTGCAAAGGAAGACTTTAGCCCGTGCCCATCCTTCAAGGTGTGCACCGAACCTAAGAACACGCTACATATAGAAGGCTCAGAGATGGCCAGAGAGGGCAAAGGAGCTCCCTGCAGCCCAGAGCCAACCAAAAGGACTCAAGGAAGGAAGGAAACCACCCTGCATTTCCTGACCGAGAGCAGAAGTCAAAAACGGACAGCCTGACTAGGGGCATGTTGGACTGAAGGCCTGGCAGCTTTGCTTTCCAGCTCAAATTTCACCTCCTTGCTCTTGATGACAAAAGTTCGTTCTACTTCCAACAACAGAACTCTAACCGAGCCTGAAGCTGCCCAGGGGCTTTGGAAACTTCTTCCCTTCCTACCGAATGCACAAGTGAGCTCTGAAATCTCTAGGAGAAGAGAACACCTGAGGACACCTCCCTTTAGAGGAAGGAAAGTTACTCTGTGGGGAAAGCAACTCTCTTAGGGCAACACAGCTTTCCCCAGAAATGCAAAGTCATTCACCCACTCACCCCGATCTGCTCCTCTCTAGAGAACGGGCCTGTATTTGTTGTTAGCTCAGCTCTCCTTGAAATGGAAGAGCTGGGAGCCTGGGGAAATGGGACATTCCCTGCAGTCCCGTGGAGGCACACCATCCCAGGGCCTAAAGAACGCTCGGATTTTTGCAAGTTGGTTTCAAGTCATACGACTGAGACTCAGAAGATCCAGAGGGGACGGTTAGTGGTAGAAAAGCCTTGATTTCCAATGATACTTCCATAAGCCACCTGAAGAGAGAGTCCCAAAGGCCAGAGGCCTCTCTCCTTACAGTATCTAAGACAGCGAGGCCTGCTGACCAACAGCAGCAGGGCTCGCACAGCCCTCACAAGGGCCCCGTGCGTTCCTGCAACAGTTTTCATTTGCGAAAACGTGGCCTGGTGAGTGTCTGAGTCTTTCAGACACAGTCAGTGCTCTTAGCATACAGCATTTCTCTCAGTTTTATCCTCATAAGGCATGGGAGTCTCTCCTTCTCTGGAGCCCTAAGAATGCCCAACTATGCCCTGCTTGGAGAGAGGGGATTGAAAAGGATGTGTTCTCATGGTTCCTGCAACATCATCAACAAACATCTGCAAAAGCAAACACAGCACAACTGGCCTGCCTCTAGGCACTATAGGGGAGGGAATAATAACCATGATAATAACCAATCCCCTTGGGCAGGGCCCCTGATGGGTCCATTTATCACAGAGAGGAGACTGAGGCCTGGGGAAGTTAGGTGGCTCTTCTACATTATTACTTTAATAGGAAAAGGAAAGCTCCTCCTATTTCCCTACAACTCTGGAACGTTCCATTCCTGATCTGTACCTACCTTCAAAAGCAACCTAGGAGTTTCTCCTGTTTTTAACATATATGGTTCAGTGCAGAGAAACACTCATGCTGTGGAGGCAGGGCCTGACTTCTTACAGAAATACCTGGCCCATGGCCCCATCAGGCACATTTGGATGAAGGAAGCACATGTCTCTCTTAGGACAAGTGCTAGCCATAGGGATATGTGAAGACAACTGGCTTATATGGTGGAGTGGAAAGAAAACTGGCCAGGCAGCCAGGAAGCAGGGATCCTAATTCAGGGTCTGGCACGAACTGGCTGTGAAATCTCAGGTTAGTCAGCCACTCTGGGAAATGGAATTAGTTTATCTGTAAAATGAACAGGGGAGACTAGATAACTGTCAAAAGCTCTTTGCAGCTCTGAAAGTCTGTCATTCCCAAAGCCTTCTCTTCTTCCTTTGCTAACTCAGCACTGAGGAGCCAAAGCACAGACTCCAATAAAGAGGGTAATGAGAGTCAGCTACCCCCCCAGCTCTATGAGCAGCCAATCTGGCCATGACTGCTTTAGCCCCTGATCTTCAGACACTGCAGCGTGGTGGCCAAAGCTTCTGGCACAGTGCTGCTGCCCCTCTGATAAGCAGGGGCTTGGCTCAGTCATAATCAAGCAAACACAGCCACGAGGTGAGAAAGGAGCTCTAGTTACCTGACAATAGCTCACTCCTTATTTCGTCCCTTTTTTTTTTTTTTTTTTTTTTTTGCAACATGGATCATATGAGCAGACAGGGCTGGAATTCAGCTTAAAGGTACAGCCACTGTTATTCAGATTGGATTTGAGAGTAACACCAAGTGTGTCTCTTGTGGGCACACTGAAGCTACTGCTCAGATAAACTGAACAAAGACTTTCACGGACATCTCCACTTATTACAGAGACCAATTCCACTCAACTGATGAAATGAGAGCAACTGTTTAAAAACAGAAGAGCTGCTGCATTCATTCTGAGCTCCACAAGCATGCCTGTGGCTCATTAAATCAGAACTCAAGGTCCAACAAAGTCTGCCTAAAAGAAATTTGGTCCTTCCCTCACCAAATGCACATTGTATAAAAATACTGGAGCAAGAACTAATGTATTTTTTTTTTTCCTCTTGGCATTTTCCCGGTCCCTTCTCAAAATGAGTATCCATAACTTAATTATACATAGTCCCTTCCAAATCTGAAAGGCCTTAATTCTATAATTCGATAGCCATCATATTCAGGACTTGCCAACCTGATTGAGAATGGTCAAGCTCCCTCTACTGGCATGTCCTGAAAAGTCAATCGAGCTCCGAATGAAAGCAGGAACAGAACACAGAATCCTAACTTCCAGCTTGGACCTTCAGTCAAAGGTGAGCTCAATATTGGAGACCACGGTCACCAAGGGAGTAGAAGGAAACAGTCCTTCACAGGGCACCTGTTGTTCAACACGTCCGTGTGTGCTGGACTTAAAGAAAAATCAGAAGAGAGGCCTTCCCGGGGGTCAGTGAGAGTCAGAGCAGACCCCTCAGAGGCTGCTCACTTACCGAGTGTGTCCGAAGCGCGGCGATGGTTTTTGACAAGGCCATTTCCCACAGTTCATCAATGTAGGCTCTGTTCACTAAGCCCTGAGTCGTATGTAAAATGTGATCTTCAACCACAAAAAAACTGAGAACGAGGAAAAGCAAGCACAGCTGTCAGAAATTACGGAGCCTGGACGTTATCTACAGGGTTGGACAAACATCACGTGCCACAAAGACAAAGCTAGCATCCTTGAATGAAGTTAATGGTCAATTTATTTCTTGCAGGAAAACTGTGTGGCCTCATAATGGGGATCAGACTTCTCTCACTAGTGAAAACATCCCTGCACATGTGTGCATCTCCTAAGTAATTGCCGAAGAGACTAAAGCTGCACTGCTATTAAATGTTATATACATTAATTTAAGTAAGAAATAGGTATGTGGGTGTGTAAATGTCCAGTTGTGATGCACAAGTACATATCAGATCTTCAAAAAAAAAAAAAAAACCTTCTTATGGGACTTGGGGTGGGGACACTTTGAAACCAGATACTAGATTTTAAAAATTAAAGAATGAACACAGGAAATAAAAGCACTTCCCTGATAAAGGAACTTTTTAACTAAGATGATGACAAAATACTTTACAAAACACATCCCACAAAATAACCAATTTATTTTATATACCGGTGACAGGGAGTTTAAACTTCGATGAACACATGACCAGATCGATTATTAAATGAGTTAACAATCCTCGTAATATCCCACACGCTAACAGAAACTGTCACAGAACGGAAGCTGTCAACGTTCAGTGCAAAGGCTGGCCTTATCATCCCCTTCACCGCTCCTCAGTTCCAATGCTCATGTTAACCTGTTTGATCCAAAGGTGAAGACATGGCAGGTTTTGGCTGACAAAAGGGAACCCTATTTCAACATATTTTATCAATGCTCAGCACGAAAGAAGAAGAGACCTTTCTGAAGAGAATTCCCTAAAGAAGGGCTGGCAAACGAACAGGAAGGATTAGGTGAGCGTGCAGAGCAAAGTGCTCCTGACATCGAGCTCCGACAGACTCACGTAAAACCATGAGCCCTTCTTCTTGGTTCTGCTCTCCAGAACTAAGAAGAACGAGTAATCCCTCTTCCATGGACCTTTCTTTGAATACCTGAAGCTAGCTGGCACCGTGCCCCGCTCATTGTCCCCTACTCAACAAGCCTGCTCAAGGTCAAACACCCCAAGTTCCACCAACATACTCATACAGCCTCAACTGGGGGGCACTCTGTTCTCATCCAACCCTGTCAATTATGGTGACTGTCACTGGTCACAAAGGGGCTAGGGGGTGCCATAGTGCACAGAGCACTGGGCCTAGAGTCAGGAAGACTTATTTTCCTGAGTTCAAATCCGGCTTCAGACACTTGCTAGCTTAACCCTGTTTGCCTCAGTTCCTCATCTGTAAAATGAGCTAGAGAAGGCTATGGCAAACCCCTCTAGTATGTCTGCCAAGAAAACCCCAAAAGGGACCATGAAGAGTCAAGAACAGGAACAAGCAGTCACCAAAGAATTCATTCTGGTTAAAATAGTTTCCTGACTCCCTTGATTTTAAGCTGGCTCCTCTCGACAATCATGATAACTCTACTGTTTCCTTTCTCTCTCTGCAAAATCATTTCACTTTCTAGTCACTTGTTCTGGATCTCAATTTCTACTTTTTGTCCCATGTGTCTTCACCATAGCTGCTGTCTTCTCATATTTCTGTTACAACACTGGCTAGGATCCCCCTTTGCTTTCCATGTCATAAGGAACAACTACTCAGAATCTCCAAGAGAAAACCATCATGCCAAACAAAGACTTCTATCTCTCACAGAGCTATGCCACTTTCTTTGATTCTGAAAAAAGAAATCATAACTGTAACACAGGGGATACATGGCTACACATGACATTCAGTTCCATTTCCTTGAACAGAGTAATTAGCAAGGGAGCTAAGGTCAGAGTTCAGCATCTCCTCCCAAAATACACATCAAAGTTAGAATTCACATAGTGGGACTGCCAATAGACGACCGCTTTCCAGATACACTAAGGGAAACCAAAATTGTGTCTTGTCAACTCAAGAGTCTTATATTTATACATCTATGTGTATGTGTGTTTCTGTGTGTGTCTGTGTTTCTGTGCACATACATACATATGGTATATCATACATATATACCCTAAATATAATGTGTGCATATATATACTTTTTTGAGGAAATACATCATCTATTTTACACAAACCCCAAACATATGCTTATATGAAGAGAATATAAATACAAAAAGAATACCTACCCTACGATTTGATTAAAATATTTCCTGTAGCCATCTAAAGTTTCATGCTGCAACAAAACAAAAAACAAATAAAAGTTTTGAGATGAAAACCAAGTAGGCTCAGGATACAATGAGCTGCCCACATATAAGCCCCTTGAGATAACGTCAAAATTTCCCATGAGGCAGCTCCTTGAAGAAAGCGTAGGTAGGAGTCCTACCATGTTGGACGGGGGTTGAAGCACCAGCCGGGCCTGTTTCCGCCTCTGTTTCCTGTAGTAGTTTTCAAAGGTTTCCCGAGCACCCTAAAAAACAAGACAAGAGGATCGGAGTGTTTGGCCAGGCCCATCATCCCCCCCCCCGGGTGGAGAGACTGCAGACGCAGCCTGTCAGTGTCTCTCTAAATAACCACTTGTGTCTCCCCCGCTTTCCTCACTGAGAGAGGGAGGAAGATAATGGGTTATTTTTGTGTATGTGAAGAACAAAGGAATGAAAGGTTTTCCTAATCCTAATGAAGACCTGTCTCACTTTGATAATCTTTTCTTGCACTACTCCCTAAAATGAAGTTCCTTTGCTGCCAGGATTTAGAACCACCCCCCCCCCCCCCCCACAAAAACACACACGTAACACAAATCTAACTTTTGTCTTATCAAGGCTCTTCTTGGTCCATTCGTCCTGCGGCTCAATTCCTTTCAAGCCTAGGTCCAGACCTGCCTCTTCCACGTAGCCTTCTTAAACACACCTAAGCCCCCAGGCCCCATCTCTCCCTTCCCAGAACTCCTGAGGCACACGAAGAGCAACTGTGCAGTAGAAGAGAGGCTGTCTTATGTTGTCTAATGGAAACTCCAGCAGCAGCCTCTTATTTTGACCAGCCAGTTTTCTAATGGGCTCTGAGGACAACTTATGCTCAACCGAGCAAAAGCCCCATGATGATGACGTTTGAGAGCAAGAAAGGGAACTAAAAATACGTGGACATGTCCAACTCGACCACAGCACTACTTACTGAGCCGCCCTTGTGTGAAAGTGCATTCACTGCCAGCCTGGTGAAGGGAAGGGACACGTAATCTGAGCACTGGCCATGTGCCAAGCAGTGCACGAAGCATGGGGGTATAAAGGAAGGTAATAACCCAGGCACTGCCCTCAAGGAGCCCACAGTCTAATGAGGGAGACATCATGCAAACGATTATGCACAAACAAGACAGAAACAGGGTAAATGGAAGGTCATCTCAGGAGGAAGGCTCTAGGAGTTGGGAAAATGGGGAAGGCCTCATGCAGAAGATAGGACGTGAGCAGGACACAAAGGGTATGAGATTGGGGAGCATTCCAGGCATGAGGGACAGCCAGTGCAAATGCGTGGAGTGAGAAGATGCAGTGTTGTGCGTGAGTGCAGCCGAACCACACATGGAGAGGAAGGAAGTAGAAGAAAATGGGAGATGGAGAAGGAGGATAAGGTTGTGAAGGCTTTAAAAACTATCCATCTATCTGTCCATCCATCCATCTATCTACCTACCTAACCATCTACATATCCAAACATATACGTAAATGTATGCATACATATAGAAATATACGTATGTGTGTATGTATATTTGATATCAGAACTAGTGTGGAGCTATTGGGAATTTACTGAATTGGAGGAGTAGGGGGGAAGAATGTTGTCAGATGAATGCTTTGAAATCACTTTGAAGGGAAAATGACTTTGGCAGGTGAGTGAAAGATGGATCAGAAAAGGAAGAGATTTGAGGCAGGGACCAGCCGGAAGGCTAGTACAATACTCCAGGTGTGAGGCGGTGATGGCCTGCACCAAGATGGTGGCTGAGGCTGTAGGAGAGATACTTTACGAGAAGGCAGAAATGACAAGAGGACTGGATGTTGGGTGAGTATGAGTGAGGATCTGAGGATGTCAATGAGGCTGTAATGGGGGACTAGCAGAGGTTAGGGTGAGATATATAGACATGGGGAACCCATGGGAACTGATGATATAATGAAATGGCACAGTTTAGAGGGAGAAGAAAAGCTGGCCAAAGGCAAAGCCTTGGGAGATACCCACAGTTAATGAGCATGACACAGTCGAAGAACAAGCGAAAGGGACGTGAGAAGGAGCCGTCCGACAGGAAGAAGACCTAACAGAGCACAATGTCACAGAGACCGAGAGAAGGGGGCATGGCCAGGAAAAGGGGGCAACTGCCAGGGTCAAAGGCTGGAGAGGGGTGCTATCTCACAAGCGACAAAGATAACAGAAGATGGCGACACGCACTGTTGGGGAGGTTGTGGGAAGTTAGACGTGCTGACGCATTGTTGGGAGAGTGTGAGTCAGTATTACCATTTTGGAAAGGAATTTGGAGTTATGCGAAGCGACTCAAATGTCCGTGCCTTTTGACCCTGAGATTCCATATTACTAAGAAATAATTGATGAGAAGGAAGTCCCATAAAAGCGAAAATATTTATAGCAGCACTTTTTGTGGCAGCAAAGAACTAGAAACAACGTAGATTTCTATTGATTGAGGAATGTTTAAACAAATTGTGATACGTGGATATACTATTACTGTGCTGTAAGAAACAGTAAGTATGATGAATACAGAGAAACATGGGAAGATTTACACAATATGATTCATACACAATGACTACACAATGTAATGGGAAGAATACCACAAAGCAATCAAAAGTTAATACTGTGAAATTATGAAGAACAAGCCTGGCCCCAAAGAACAGATGTAAGAAGAGGCTTCTATCTACTCCCTTATAGAGGTGGGAGATCCACTGCTGGGGTATACTGTATAAATTTTCAGTTTTTTTCAATATACTGATTTTGCTGGGTTTTCTTTTCCCTCTTCTTCCCCATTTAATTTTTTAAAAATGTTATTTGTTAATATGGGATGGGGTTGATGGGGTGTACTGGGAGAAATTTGGATGATATAATAAATCTATCAATAAAAATTCTTTTTAAATAGAAAGTTAATGTTATAAAATTACAAGGAGTAAGTATGATCCCAAAGAAGGGCTATGAGAAGACACTTTCCTGCCCCCACCTTTGCAGAGGTGAGGAGTCCACTGGTGTGGTACACACTGCATCGAATGTCACATTTTTTCAGCACAGTGATAAGTTCTGTTGATTTTTTTCAATTTTTTTCTCTTTTTCTTAAAACAAAACCCTTGTTATATAGGGATGGCTCTCTGGGAAAGAAGGAGGTGGACAGATGCAGGAGGAAATTTAGGAAATGTTAAAAAAAAAGGACATAATAAAATTAAGTCTCACATGTTTAGTTAATGGCATAAGCTAGGACCAGCATCAAGGCTTCCAGACCTTTAGTACAGTGGTCCTTCCATAATATCATACTAAGCAGATCTCCTTAATCCCTATTCATTCATTCACTCATATACAGGGTTCCATCCGTGGAAGGTTCTATCCATTCAATAAACATCCTAAGTTGCTTCATGTGCTAGGTGCTAAAGAGGCAGAAGACATAAGTATGATGCCTGCCCTCAAGATGTTTAACATCTTGGTTTGAAAAAAATCAGTACTGAGTAGAGGGAGAATCTGAATGCTAGAAAACAAGAGTGGGGTGAGGGTAGGGGAAAGATGGTCCCTGAGTTCAGTGACCAGCACACCAAAGCTGGATTTCATGCCAAACTTAACACAAATCTATGAGAATGAAGCTGAGACAGCTCTCTCTGAGTTTACACCAAAAACTGGGAAAACGTTCTTGCGCACACTGCAAAAGAGCATTCCAGAAACAAGACGTCAGTTTCTGAAGCAAGCACCTAAATGAATACAGAGCCTGCCCATAGCCAAAGATAGACTGGGGAAAAGGGCGGGAGCAGACAGCAGCAAAGTGCTAAGAAGTCAGTCTACCCAGACAGTGAAGCCGAGCCCAGGATTATCACCAAAGAGCAGGAAACGAAATCCTGGAAACTGTTATTGCCCAGTTTCCACTTTTCAACTAGGGCTGCTGGTCTTAAACCAAGAGGTGATTTCAAAAACAAGGGATAACTCAAGGGCTTAAAGATTCTAGGACACTATGGTGCCACCATTATTTCTGGTGTTATGGTCTACCCAAATGTCAGATTATTTAAAAAAAAGAAGCACAGAAATAAAGACCGATGAAGAAAGTGAAATTGAAAATTTCATTAAGTCACAATTTAATGAAGCAGCAAATTTCTTGACTTATGAAATGAACAACTAAAAATTCTATTAAGTTTGTTAAAGTAATCATATAGAATGAATAAATGAAAAGCATTTATTAAGCACTACTTATGTGCTTCATGTGCTGGTTGCTGAATAAACAATAAGGCAGTAGGGACACTGCCTGTCCTCAAGGAGTGTAACATCTGGGTTTGAAAACAGAGTTCAGTTACCAGCACAGAAGATGGACACTCAGAGGACAAATATAAAAGTGGGGAAAAGATTCTGCTCTAAAGAAGTTCACATTCCAATGGAAAAGATAATACACATAAGGGCCTGGTGGAAACTATGGTCTGGGACCTCATAAAAATGGCAAGTGGAATGATAAGGCAGTCCCCCGAGACGCCCTTTTCAAGACTAAAATTCTAGAAGAAGGAAAGGTAGAGGGGTCAGGAGTAAAGAAGACACAGATGAAGTCACTTAGCTTGCAACAGTAATGGTCTCTGGTTTGGTTTGGAGGGTGAAGTAACAGCAACAAGGTAGAAAGTGGCCTTGGTGAGGATGGAGGTGCAATGGTAGAGTTACTAATGAAGGAGATACATTGGCAAGGGAAACAAAGACCCCCGGGGGAAACAAGCTTATCCAGGTTCCTCTGCTCAGTCTAATACAACAGAATCATCACAGCCTCGATATCTTCATGACGCTGCTTAAGGACAGTCCTATTCCCATTTAGAATAATCTCTTACAGACACTAACTCCAACATCTCAAAGAATCTCAGCACTGGAAGAAATCTCACAGGCCATTTAGGCCAAACCAGTTCCCAACCGAATACTTGAAGAGAGCTATCAAGCTCCCCCTAAGCCTCCTCCTGGGCAAACATCCCTTCCATTAATCACTTTTCATATGGCATCAACTCTTGGCCCTTCAATCAACAAACAAGCATCTATGAAACACCATGTGCCAAATGCTGTGCTAAGCACTGGGTATCACCCCCCTCCCCTCATCTCCCCTCACAAAAAAACTGTCAGACACAAATGGAACAAAGAAGACCCATGGAGCGTGAGAACGTGGCCTCGGCAGGGAAGGTGCTAGGGACTGGGAAGAAAGGAGACCAGCAAAGGCCTCCTGCAGAAGGTGGCGCTTGTCCTGAGTCCTAAAGGAGTCCAGGGACGCAAAGAGCTGAA